GAAATTTCCTGAGAGTGAAAACAATTAATCAGTGGAACAACTCGCCTAAAGAAGTTGTGAATGCTCCAACACTGGAATTTTTTAAGAAGAGGTTGGATAACCATTTGTCTGAAGTGGTGTAGGGTTTCCTGCCTAAGCAGGGGGTTGGACTAGAAAACCTCCAAGGTCCCTTCCAATTGTGCTATTCTATTCTATACTAGATCCAGTCACATTACATTAATCCTGCTTGATTAATCATCCTCAAATTCCTATGATTTCATTGAGTTAGCACGAAAGTTGGATTTAATCCAATCAATCATAAACTCCCAATAAGGTTGATGAGGTTGGAAAATATACAGTATATAAAGTCACCATGCAGTAGGAAGTAATTAGGGATGTGTGCCCAAAACACATCTTCACATTTTTACTAGCCCTGATGATATCTAGTTTGGGTAATGAAACATCTGCAAGAAAACAACCAAACTCAGAGAGCACCGAGGACTCTGCATCTTCAGATGTGTACTTTCTAAATGCTTCCACCATAATCTTTTTTTTTTCAAAACCAAAAGAAATCCCATCAAACCATGGCTCTTTTAAGATAGGAAATAAAGTCTTCTTCTGGGCTTTAATACTGGAGTCTTGGTGACAATGCAGTCTTGTCCTTTCCTAGGTGGGCATTGTGGAATTCATTTACTACTTCCATTGAAATCCCCCACACACTGTGGCCAACAATCCTTTGGATGTTGTTCTTGAAATGTTCAACGTGCCCCCTACTGCCTTGAAACCAATCTATAGAGAGAAACTAGTTAGATGTTGCTATCAAGAGTAGATTTTTCCAGCTGGGAAATCCAGAAGGTGCCAATTTAAAAACAAAATTGGCCTGGAAAGTGGATTTATGGGTATAAACAGATATGTACAGACACAGAGCTACAAAGAGAAACACTCAGTAGGTCTACCAATAGCTCTGGATATTGGTAGGTAATAGGTAAGAGATAATATTTATTCATAATTATATTGCCCACTTCAATTGCTTAAACAGTGCAAAGTTGAGGTCACTAGTTATATGATACAGTGGCAGATTCGTAGCCCTTCAAAACGAAGAAGACTTTGCCAAAGGACGATGCACCTCTATAAAATTCTGAAAGGAAATTCTGAAATCAAATGGCACTCTTCCATTATCCTCACACGACACAGACTTTCGGAGAAGCAGATGTTGGAGGTGGGCTGCAATGAGACACATGAAACATCCCTTTGAGGATGTTTAAAGAGCTGTGGTGGCGGCGCAGTAGGTAGAATTCAGTATTGCAGGCTAACTCTGCTGACTGCCAGGAGTTCAATCTTGACCAGCTTAAAGATGACTCAGCCTTCCATCCTTCTGAGGTCAGTAAAATGAGGACATAGATTTTTGGAGGCAATATGCTGACTCTGTAAACCAGTGGTGGGTTCTGGATCCCATTCCAACTGGTACAGTTGGAACGGGCCCGGTGGCGTCCCCATGGACATGGATAGCGCGCACATGCATCTTAGCACCTCTGTGACGCTCCAGCTGCTCCACAGAGCATCGTGCAGGTACTGTATGCGCCATGCTCATGCACGGAAGCATGGAAGCCTTAAAAGACAGGTAAGGAGCTCGGACGAGCAGGTGGGCCCTCCGGAACAGTATCCAGTGCTCCGGGTAGGCTCCGGTACTCCCATACCGAGGCGTACCGCCTGCAACCCACCACTGGCACCTGCCCACCTGTCCCAGCTCTATACCACCCTATTTAGCCACATTTTCTAAGCCGTGCAGACGCATGCAAGCTGTCCGTACTCACTAAGTGCATGTGTGGAAGGCAGGCATGCTCACAAAGTGAGTGGGCACACACACAGTGAACCAGTGGTGAACTTATGTGAAACCTACCTCTGATTTTTTTTGTCTTTGTGGACATGGGGTGGGCATGGTCTTTCCCTGACACATCCTGCCCGTCGGCCACCAGTTTGACACCCCTGGCTTAGAAAGTACTGAAAAACACTACGAAGTGGTATATAAATCTAAGTGTTGGTACTATTGTATAGAAAGAAGCTGTAAATCTAATAAGCAATGCTAAACTTCCTGATTGCGGTTATTCGGTGGGGACGAAAGGTTTACTGGCTGATGAAAACAAGTGAATATTTATGATATGGATTTTTGTTTTTAAATCTAGAAGTAGCTATTAAGCGAGTTTTGTTCCTTAAAAAGAAAAAAAAAGCAGATCAGATATTCAAGGACTACTTTATTTGACTTTACGCAAACAAAGGAAGGTTGTTTTTGCCAGTCACAAGAAATAATTACAGACTCCGAAAGGAAAGGAAAGTTAGCTTGGATCACTGCGTGCTTCTCTGAACTAACTCGTTATATCATAAAATGTTGCCGTTCAGCTTTCGTGCTGACTGTTGTGGGGATATTGCAATCTGAAAGATCTATTATTTTTAATTTATGGTGGTGACAAATGCAATGGAAAACTGTTCATAGACTGGCTGCATACTCAATTGCTTCTTTTAACAGAATCATTTTTCAGGTATCCGACTAGAAGGAGCTCAGCCTGGTACAATATTGATGGAAATCGCCAGCAAAACAGAATAAATTCCATCGCACTTACCTTGCAAGATGCAGAAAGGCTGACTGTCACTGTATTTCATGCAATGAGCATTAATGTGATGGGCATGGGCATTTGGGGGGATCAATTCAGATGACAAATGTGTTTTGCGATTGTGCTGGAGCTGCTTACAACACAAAGTGAAAAGACAGTATGACAGGGAGAGAAAGTTAGAATTTCATCGGTTTTGCACCCTGGTTTGAAGGATGCTTCATAGAAACATAGAATAACAGAGTTAGAAGGGAGCTTAGAGTATTCTAGTCCAACCCCCTGCTCGAGCAGGATTATACCATTTCAGACAAATAGCTGTCCAGTCTATTTTTGAAAGCCTCCATTGACGTAGCACTCACAACTTTTGAAGGCAAACCATTCCATGAGTTGAATGCTCTCACTGTTAGGAAATTTCTCCTTAGTTCTAGGTTGATTGGTTAGTTTCCCCTCCATTGTTTCTTGGCTTGCCAGCTGGTGCTTTGGAAAATAGTTTAGCAATAGCAATAGCAGACTTATATACCGCTTCATAGGGCTTTCAGCCCTCTCTAAGCGGTTTACAGAGTCAGCATATCGCCCCCACAGTCTGGGTCCACCCACCTCGGAAGGATGGAAGGCTGAGTCAACCTTGAGCCGGTAAGATTAGAACCGGTAAGATTAGAACCGGTGAACTGCAGATAACAGTCAGCTGAAGTGGCCTGCAGTACTGCACCCTAACCACTGCGCCACCTCGGCTCTCATTTTTTTGCTGAAGGTGCTGGCCCCTGGGCAAAAGTGTTGGTGCCCCTCATGGGGTTTGTAGTTCCTGACAGCAGGGCTGAGAAGCTTGTTCTGTATCAACCGTTTCTGGTCTGGTTGGTGTTGCTTTGAGGGAAGCCGGTTGCACTCAGTGACTTGGAGCCCGATCCTGCGAATCTTTCCTAAAATAACGACTCCAGATACTACACGAGA